AATATTAGGCAGTCATGTGCTTAAAGTAGTACAACAATCAATGGATAGGTTTCTTATTAGATAATGACCAGTCAAATACTTAGCAATCAGTTGAGGAGATTATCTTTTCATCCTTTTGCAAGATGAACTGCATGTTCTTCTCCATTTTCATTGTAAAGTGTAGAAAATTTGATGGATGACTATCTGAGTGGTGTGGAGTCTCCAACAGGTCATCTATACTTCGTGATGAGTCATTAGATCTTGATTGATGGATAATTTAATTACCTGGAACACAGTTTATTGCTTAGATTGGACCGTTGGGACGAATATACATGAAAATTTCTATGAAGTTTGCTACTTTTGAAAATATGTCTGAGAACTGAGTTTGGTGCACAAACTTCAAATTATAATCATGATAGCACATAAAGATTGTGTATTTGAGTTTTTTTGAACTTACCTTGGATATATGGTGAAGATCTGTATTTTAGATACAGAGTATGAAGAGGTTTTTTTGATCGAAGAGGACAGCCTAAAATTTGAAATTATAGACGGTTTTGTTCAAGATAGAGAAGTGTACCTATCATAGAGCTCTTAGATGCAGCAATCAATTATTAATGTTCGCTGTGGAATCTGTTTCTATTGGACTCTGCATCGGCTTGATTACTTTTTCATTCAGTGCGCTATCTCATATGCTATAAATCTCACATCTATCATAAAAACGAAGATTAACAACTTGCGGGTACAAAAAATGAGATCAAGACGATGGAAGGTGAAACAAGATTATGTAATGCTTTTGCAGTTGTTTTTCTTTTCAGAATCAGATCCATCAGAGCGCGAGGATTTGTTCATTCAAAAGATTCGACAATGTTGTGTGGTTTTTGAATTTGCTCAGGATCCGTTGAGTGATATGAAGTATAAGGAGGTTTGTTAGATTTTTGTTCAGGCGTGGTTGTGATGGTGTCTAGTGTCTTATATTTTACATGTTATAAAGCCTTTCTCTCTGTTTTCCGAAGTTCTCTTCATAAGAGGTTTTTCATTTTGAGTTGCCTACACTAACCTTTGAGAGGTACAGGGAACTTTTCTTTAAATATCACACATTTTCTTTACACAAGAGGACTGATTGAAAGAGTGGAACACATGTTTTGCAAACTATTTTCTGAAGCCGATGCAAAAACGTATTCAACAACATTTCAAGTACGAAATCACTTTCTGCTTGTTGAAAAAAGTTTCGAAAGGAATTGTATGGATTGGTTAATTCTCACTGGGAAGAGCTAGCTATGGAAGGGATATAATTGACTAAAATTTAGAAGCATATCCAAATTTAGGTTAAAAGAGCTGCATTGAATGAACTGATCGACTACGTATCGACCTGTAGAGAAGTGATCACTGAAAA